TGGATGGATGGATGGATGGAAGAATGGAAGGATGGATGGATGGATGGGTGGATGGATGGAAGGAAGGATGGATGAAAGGATAGATGGATGGATGGATGGATGGATGGATGGATGGATGGATGGAAGGAAGGAAAGATGGATGGAAGGAAGGATGGATGGATGGATGGATGGATAGGTGGATGGATGGATGGATGGATGGATGTGTGGATGGATGGAAGGAAGGAAGGAAGGATGGATGAAAGGAAGGAAGGATAGAAGGATGGATGGATATAAGGAAGGAAGGAAGGATGGATGATGGATATATGGAAGGAAGGAAGGAAGGAAGGAAGGAAGGAAGGAAGGAAGGAAGGAAGGGTGGGTGGATGGAAGGAAGGAAGGAAGGATGGATGGATCTGCACACCTTTGTGTACCTGTATGTCTGTCTCGCACAGAGTGCTGCCTGCCTCCATCTGCAGAGCCTCTGTTATACGTGTTATCCAGCACATGTGTTGATGCATTTGCCTCTGGATGCTTGTCACCTGCCTGAAGACATGAAATTTAACCTTTTTTGCACTTCTATGGTTAATCTAAAATTCATTTTATCAAAGTAGTGGGGAAGCCATAGTGAGAGGCTGTTTGAATTCCAGGTAAACTTAAAATCCTCTTTTCTTTGGGTGGACACACTTTCCTTCCTGACAATAAATATGTGTGCAGCACCTACCCTGTGCCGGATGTCATACCTGTTACTGGGACACAGCAGTGAATAAGGCAGCTCAGGTTCTAGTCGGGGAGACATCAAGGGAACAGGCCGTTTCCATCCACTGTGATCAAGCTTCTGAAGCCAGAAGCACAGAGGAGAGCAGTCAGGGTGGGCTCCCTGGAAGAGACAGTATTTATGGCATTTGGTGAGTAGGAGTCAGCAGGGGAAGCATGTCCTTGCCATGAAGCTTCAGGCGTTCTGTGAGCAACACCATCACTCGTGGATGCAGTTGGTGTGAGTCACAACCCTGGCCCCGTGTGCCCTGACTCTGCCCTGCCACCAGCTCTCTCTTACCTCCCCTCGCTCCCCCCCTCAACCCCCAGCCCCAGAGGTCCTGAACAACCAGAGATACGGCCTGAGCCCTGACTACTGGGGTCTGGGCTGCCTCATCTATGAGATGATCGAGGGCCAGTCGCCATTCCGGGGCCGCAAAGAGAAGGTGAAGCGGGAGGAAGTGGACCGCCGCGTCCTGGAGACGGAGGAGGTGTACTCTTCAAAGTTCTCTGAGGAGGCCAAGTCCATCTGCAAAATGGTGAGCTCCTGGTGGGGCAGACGCTGCCCGCGGGCTGGCTGTCCAGTGGTGTCTCCCCTCCTGCGCAAACAGGCTGACAGGAACAGGGTCAGGCACACTGGGGTAGGAGTGGTGGCAGCAGCGAGCCAGAGGAACAAGCAGTCCTGGTCGTGGAGCAGGGTGGTCGGCCACGGCTGCCAGAAGGCCTGGGGTGCAGGCAGGGAGGCCCCATGACAGGGAAGGGGCTGGGGCGAACCGTGGGAGACCCTCAGATCCGGCCTTGTTAGGGCAAATCAACGTCTTGGAGAAAGGAGAGGATCCCAACTGGTTCCTCAAGGCACAAAGGGATCTTGGGGCATCCCCTACCCTTGGCCTTGGCGCCCTGCAGCCTCAAACTCTGGATCCCCAGGCACTGACTGAGGCCAGCAGGGGCAATGCAGGTGCTGGGGTGGTGATATTTTCAGTCTTTGAACATCTTACAATAGAGTTTTCCTTCCACTCCATGGAATGCTGGCCACACTAGCTTAGGTCCTGCATGACAGCAATCTAAGGACCGTGGGACTTCATCGTCCATGGGGACGGTGCAGGTGGGGAGCACCGTTTAGACAAGCTGGGTGGGCAGGACCAGACTGGGGCTAGGAAGCCTGATAGAGGAAGTAGTGACCGGAGCCATCAAAAATGGAGCTGGGCAGGGGGTGGGGCACCTGGGTGGCTCAGTCGGTTAAGTGACCAAGTTCGGGTCAGGTTGTGATCTCACAGTTCGTGGGTTCAAGCCCCGTGTCAGGCTCTGTGCTGATGGCTCAGAGCCTAGAGCCTGCTTCAGATTCTGTCGTCCTCTCTCTGCCCCTCCCCCACCCTCTCTCTCAAAGACAAACATTAAAAAAAATTTTTTTTTGAAGTGGGGCTGGGAGGGAGTCCACCCCTGGCTGCTGCCCCTCCCCCCCAGCCCAAGTGGCTCACCAGAGGCTTTGTGGAGGGAATGGCCCCACCTGGCTCTCATGCTCCCGGGTTCTGCCTGTGTCCCCTTGGGGCCTCTCCCTCTGATGCAGGCCCAACTGTGCTGCACCCCCACCCCAGGCAGCTGCCCTCCAGTGCCAGCCACGCATGGACAGGAGAGCCTGGATGCCCCACTCCGGGTACCCATGAACCCTCAGACTTCCTCTCCCTGGAGCGCTGCTGCACCTGAAACAGCAGACAGCAGGGTGAGGCTGCCCTCCCTGCCACCTCTCTGACTCGAGTGTATAAACCACAAGGCTGGAGTGTATAGAACAGCAGGCCCGACATGCTGATTAAAGTAGTGAAGCTTCTGCTTCCAGAAAAGCCAAGGCCGCACTGTTAGTGGCCCAGGGACCGTGTGGCATAGCTCCCCACCCTGAGGAGGACCCTCTCTGGAGCTATCCACTCACTGCTTGACCACTTCCTCTTACCGGCTTCAGTCTGACGTCACAGAGCCATGGGAAGAAGGATTTGGGGCAAGATCTGCCATTTGAGCACTTCCAAAAAAGAGGACCCATAGATCTGCCATCCACATGTGTGGGAGTCACTGAAGGAGGCTTGCAGACACACACCCAAACCACATGGCCTGTGGGCTGGCCCGTACCCGGGCACTTGCCTGCACCCCTGGGCCTCCCAGAAACCCAAGGAGTCACGGCAGCCAGAGTTGGGGTGGGGGACAGAAGTCAGGTAGGTGGAAATGTGGGACCCTAAGGACATTTGAAAACTGGGGTAGGAGACCTGCCAATATTTGGCTTAGACGTCCGGTGGGGCCAAACTGGGCGAAGGATAGAAGAGGGAAGTCATCAGCCATGGTCAGAGCATCACCAAATATCCCAGGTCAGGGTCGGGGACTCAGAGAACCAGAACAACCCCAGCAGGACACAGGACATGCTGGGAGGAAGAGGCAGAGAGGCTCCGGCCCGCTGTCTGGGTGCCTGTCCGGGCACCAGGACTAGGGGCACTGCTGGCCCTCTGCTGCCCCCTGGTGGCTACTGCGGGAAAGGCGGTGGCTGAGCCTGGGACTCTGAGTGGACCTTGGCCAATGGCTTTCAAAGGTCGAGCCAGTGTCCCCTCATCTTTCTCTGCTGGAAGAACTGACAAAGCCCTCTGGCCTTGCTTCATCTTCTTAAAAATGACCATAGGGTCATGGGATTCTGGCCTTGGGCTTCCTGGCCACCCCTCCCCACAGCCTGTCTGGTCTGGCAGCCAGGCTGGCCCTGTCGCCTCTAAGAGGTGCCAGCTCAGGACACAGCAGGGCTTGTCTGTGAGGAAACCATGAAGGCTTGGGGCACATTGGACTGTTTCTAGACCCTGGCAGCTCCAGCTCTGCCTGCCCAAGAAGGCCACTCCACAGACTGCAGGGAGGCTGGTCCCTGGCCACCTGTTCCTTCCCTGATTCCACCCTGGTGCCACAAGACCCTCTCCACTGCCCCCTGGGGTCCAGAAAATTCATACGTGTCAGTGCCCTGTCCCCTGGTCCAGTCCCTAGGCCCAGACCTCAGCCCCACCTCTGTAGGTCCCTGCTGAGTTCCAGAACTGGCCCTGACCTCCTCACAGGACCCTCCCTCTGGCCCTTCAGCCACCTCAGCCTTAATCAGCCTTCCAGCCCATCTCTTCTCCTCCTTCAGGAAGCCCACTCTGCCTGCCCCACTTGCCCAGCTCACACCACCTCTCCCTCTCACTTCTGGTGTATACTTGATACCAGGGCTGCAATCAGGTAGCACATAGATGGGTGTTCAGCCTGCACGGTGTTTTAGAAAGAGGTGGATGGCAGGTTAATTGCCAAGATTTCAAGCAGGAGAGATTTCACATGAGAACCTGGACTTTCGGCCCTGGGCACAAGACAACACTCCAGGCAGAACTGATGGGCGGCCTGGCACAGCCCTCCCAGCCCACCTCGCCTTTATTGTCCTTGTTCGTGTTTCTGGCTGGCTGGCCCTGCAGGCTCTGGGGTCTACAGCTGGGAGGACCAGCCTCTATTCAGGGAGCCTTGCCTCTTTGGGACTTCTCAGAACAGGGAGGAGCCCTGGCCCAGCAGAGCCTGATTCCTGGAGCCTTTGTGGAACTGCAAAGCCTCTGGAGAAGACAAGCTAAAGTCCCGAGGCACCGGCTCACTGGGCAAAACATGCCTGGGTGATCGGTGGACCAGAGGTTGACATAGTGATTCTCACAGCTTAAGTCTTTTCTAGGCTGTGACCTGGTGTTTGCCCAGGTGCCGCCTTTGAGTCCTCTGTTTGAAGGGAAATGGGAAGGGAATGGCTCCTGCAAGCCTCCGCCTCTAGACCATGAACCTCAGGAGGCCCGCCTGCCCGCTGGCCCACCACCGCAACCCCAGCCCCCACGGCCAGCTGCAAATGTGCATGGTAGGAGAGCACACACAGGGTGCCAGCATATTGGAGAGAGAATGGCCTGAGGTCAGGCCATCCACTCTGATTCTGGTCTCAGAGCAAACAGATGCCCTGGGGTCAGCTGGTGGTCCTCCAGCATCACAGCCTGCCCTTCCCAGCCCCCTCCCAGCTTTCACCACCTCCTGCCGCCCCCGCCTCCCCCCCCCCCCCCACCTCGTTCATACTTTTACCGTCTGGCCTGGCTGACTGCTTCTGCAGCCTCTTCCTGCCCTATGAACCTCCCCACCTGTGGCTTCTGAGAAGGACACTCCTCTACCCTGACCAGCATTCTCTCCAGCCAGTTCACCCTGGCCCATCCCCCGCCCCTTCATCCTTCGCCCAGACTCAAAGACAGGTGTTCCCCAAGGCTGCCCTCAGGTCTCCACCACCTGCTTTTGCCAGCCGATGCCTTCCCCACCTCCCCACTCGTGGAAAGCCTGTAGCAAATGCCCTTTCCCTGCAAAGCTTCCCCGTCCCCCCAGCTGGCAGCCAGGTCGTGTTCCTCTGCCATCATGGTGTCGTACCTGTATTGCCCTGATGGGTCCTCTGAACGTGGCCTTGCTGAGGCCAGGTACTCCGTGCCCGTCGCTGGTCTCTGCACAGAGGTTTGTGCCAACTAGATACCTATCTACAGGGTACTCGGGCGTTGAGTAGATGAATGAGTGAGACCTGCAGAGACCATCCGTGCCCTTTGTTGCTTGCTTGTAGCAGAAGAAGTAACACAGTGCCACAGACATAGGTGGTGCCCAGTGTGCCGCAGGGTCGGTGTACTGCTGTGGGGAGGGCAGGCAGGACCCCCCGCCCTCCTGCAGCCTCCAGGCATCTAAGCACGCTGCAAGGCCCGAGCAGGCCAAGGCAGTGTCCACTGGGTATCTGGGGGCGGCTCGGGCCCCGCAGAGGCTGGAGGAGGACGTGTGGGAGGCTCTGGGGTGCACCTGTGAAAGGAGATGATCACAGGGGCCTGAAGCCCCAAACCCCCTGTGGCCTTCAGCGGGAGGAAAGGCCCACCCAGCCGTGACCTCTCACGGCTCTCTTGTCACAGCTGCTCACCAAAGATGCAAAACAGAGACTGGGCTGCCAGGAGGAGGGGGCTGCTGAGGTCAAGAGACACCCCTTCTTCAGGAACATGAACTTCAAGCGCTTAGAAGCCGGGATGTTGGACCCTCCCTTCATTCCAGATGTGAGTTGCCTCCCCAACCCAGGCTGCACCTGTGCACAGACTCACGACTTCAACTTAGTGAATGTCCACACTGGGCCCTGGGAGGCCACCCCGACTGACCTTGAACTCCTAGAGGGCAGGGCCAGTGGGCAAGTGAGAACAGTGGATGTTAGTGCTCTAACAGCCACAGCTCATGGTTCCGGTGCCCAGCTCCATGGTGGGCACTTACATCAGCCCCACAGCATAGGTGTTTCTAATGTCCCCACTTTGCAGGTGCGAAGACTGAGGCCAACAGGGGATATGTGACTTTCCCAGAGTTCCTAAGCATCACAGCTGGGAGCCCAGCCCAGGCCTGTCTGGCTGCAGAGCCTGGGTGCCCGGTAGTGAGAAGTACCTGGAGGTTGTCTCTGGGCCACATGTCTCTCTGGCCCTGGGTCCCCAGCATCAGTTCTCTCTGTGGGGGACAGGCTGGAGGCCCCAGCTGGGGCAGCCCTTGTTTGGACGGAGATGCCCGGAAACACTTCCATCATCCTGATCCTGTGGGCTTTGGGGAAAAAGAAAATCTGCTGGGGGCGTGGGGATCCCCAGGGGTGCCAAGGAACGTGAGGTCAGAGAGGGCATGTTCAGTCTCCCCACCGTGGCCCCAGCCTGGAGAGTGGGGAGGCCTGCAGCCGGCCTAAGGCCGATGGCGGGAAGGAGCCCCTTGGCAGATCTGAGAGAGAGCAGCACCGGTCCCCTGCAAGGTGCCCCCTGCCCCCCATCAGAACCCGAGGCTGGGGGCACCGGGCCTGGGGCGGGACCCTGTGTGACCGAGCCCTCTGCCCGCAGCCCCGTGCCGTGTATTGCAAGGACGTGCTGGACATCGAGCAGTTCTCCACCGTGAAGGGCGTCAACCTGGACCACACAGACGACGATTTCTACTCCAAGTTCTCCACGGGTTCCGTGCCCATCCCGTGGCAGAGTGAGGTGAGCAGGGCGGTGGCCACATGCACCCTGAAGGGGTCCGCTGGGTCGAGGGCACCAGGCCTGGCCCAGGGCACCGTTGGCGTGGGGTCAGAAGAGGAATAGGAGGTGAGATGGACACGGCCGTCTTTGCCGGCTGTCTCGGGAAGTCTGGCTGGGAGAGAGGAGGAAAAACAGGACTGTGGCTGGACGCACAGGTGGGAATGAGCTGGGGGAGTCGGTGCTGCTTCCAATGGGTTGGAAATGATGGGGCAGGGGAGGGGGCGCTGGCAGGGGGAAGGGCCCGGAGCATGTGGGTGGCCTGGGCTTGGGGAGGTGTAGGGGGGGATGGGGTGTGGGCTTGGTAGCTGGATGATGAGCACACCCTTGCGGCCAGCCGGCAGGGGAGAGGCAGTGGCAGGCAAGGAGCGGCCTGGGCCCAGGGCCCCTGAAGGACGCAGGGCAGGGGGAGGACCTATTGGAAGCCGGCTCCAGGCAGGGTGGTGGCCCGGCCTCCGGGGCTCCTGTCCACCTAAGATGATGAACACAGCTGCTCACGCCACCTGTGGTTTGCACCCCTTCCCCAGATGATAGAAACCGAGTGCTTTAAGGAGCTGAACGTGTTTGGACCTAACGGTACCCTCTCGCCGGACCTGAATAGGAGTCACCCTCCAGAACCGCCAAAGAAAGGGCTGCTCCAGAGGATCTTCAAGCGTCAGGTGAGGGATGCCCCCACCATGGCCGGCTGTCCTGGCATTGGCCCCGGGGACGCCCTGGGGCCCAGGTACTTCCCTGAGACCAGAGCTGTGGCCTTCTCCCAGTAGCCCGTCCCAGCCCCTGAAGCCCACCGGCTGGGTAGAAGGGGCAGGGCCGGCCCAGAGCTCACCCTTCACGAGGGTTTGTCAGCCTTGGCACCGTTGGCATTCTGGGTGAATTCTCTGTCGTGGGGGCCGTCGTGTGCAGTGAGGGATACCCAGCAGCCTCCCGGCGTCTCCCCGCCAGGAGCGCCCCACTCCCGCTGTGCAAGTCAAAAACGTCTCCATACCTTACCCAGTGTCTCTGGGGCACAACCTCCCTGACGGAGAGCTAACTGCCCCATGTGGCCATTGTAAGGACTCCAGTTCTGTACGTAACTGCTGAACGTGACAAAGAACGGGGAGAACAGGTGTGGGAGAGGTGGTCCCCACAGAGCCTTGTGGCTCCTGGGCTGGGGCCCCATACATGGCGGCTGTGCCCCCCAGCTGGCAGCCAGAGGACACTCTGCCCCTTGAGAAGACGCATTTTTCCTCAGAGTCTGCCCCTGGATTAAGGGCTGGTGTGGGCCAGACAGAAGACGTGTCCCCACAGGCCTGTGAGTGAGAGGCCACTGAGGCCCCCACCTCGTCCCCTCGTCCACCCTCCTGGCCTGGCCCCTGAAGGAGGCATGGCCCCCCATTGCGCCCATGCCACAGCCTGGGAGGCTCCTGTGACTTATACTCCCTCCCCGCCCCCCACCCCAAGGGAGCTGTGCCTCTCCCAGGAGGACGAAGAAGGAGAGGCTGGGCAGCTCTGGTCCCCAGGCCCCAGGAATCCCAGCTCCCCCCCCCCACCCCGCTAACAGGATGGGGGGGCTGTTTATGGCATTGTGGTGTGGACCAGCTCTGCACTGGCTGCTTTTTGAGAGCTTCTCCTAATTAAGCTCCACAAAAGCCCGGGCCTCCGTCCAACCATTCATTCATTCAGCCAATATGTATTGAGTGCCTACTGTGTGCTAGGCTGTTTTCTCAGGGCTGGGGATGCATCAGCAAGCCAAACTGGGATCCTTCCTTTGGGACATGCTGGTGCCATGTGAGCCCAGCGTGTGTACGATTAACCCACTTCACAGGTAGGGAAACTGAGGCTGAGGGGGTCAAGGAACTTGCCCACAGGTCACAAGGCCAGTGAGCCCCTGCGAAGGATCTGGGGTTAATGGCGGGGAGCACGGATCAGACATGTGGAGAGAAAATGCAGACTGATGCCAAGTTTGGGGTTTTATCTAAAAGCTTCATGTGAGTTTCACATCCTTTTCCAAAATATACTCATGTTCATATACTATAAAAATATAATTTTTAAATGCTTCCACCAAGGAAAATGGAAGCTCCCGAAAGAAAGGAACCTGTCTCCTCCCACATGGCTGAGTCCCCAGGTCCTGGGACAGGCATTTGCTGTGGAGGCTCCCCGACTCGGGGTTCAAACCTGGCCCTGACTCTTCCTGCTACTTGGGTGGCACTGTACCGCCCCTGTCCCAGCCTTTGTGTGCCCGTCTCAAAGGTCAGTGCCCAGAGCAGGGAAGAGGGAAGTGGAGGTCAGCGGCCCTCTGCACAGTGCCCAGCACTACCACCGGGGAAGCAGATGGCCCGGGTCTCTCTCCTCCTCCCTGCAGGTGTGGGGGACCCGCACCCACGGCTATGCCAAGAGGATGCCAGGGGCACCCAAACAAGCAGCCTGTGGTTCTCGGGCCAGGCACTCGCTCGGGCCCTCTCTGCACACAGCCTGGCCCTGTGGAGAAGCAACTCTTCCCCTACACTACAGGCAGGGCGGCCAAGACATTTAATAACTCACCCAAGGTCACTCAGCTAAGTGGCAGGTGTCAGGCTCAAACCCATGGCGGTTTAACCTTGGGCCTGCGGTACTTAGCCGCGTAGATGTTCTGGGAGGGGCCACCTTCTCCCTCCCTGCCTGGGATTTTCTTAATTCCATACCTCCCCCTGCCTTGAGGGGTGGCCTCTGACCCTGGGTCTGCGGCAGGTGGGGGCGGGGGGGGGGGGGGGGGGGGGGGGGGTGATGTACAAGGCAGCGGAAAAAAAGAGATGGTCAGCAAGCCCTGATCGTGGCCCTGTTTTCAGATTCAGAGGCCTCTCCTGTCCACTAGGACTAACTCTCTCTCTCTCTCTCTCTCTCTCTATCTCTCCTCCAGCATCAAAACAATTCCAAGAGTTCACCCAACCCCAAGACCAGTTTTAACCACCACATGAATTCAAACCATGTCAGTTCAAACTCCACGGGAAGCAGCTAGTTAGCGCTCTGGCCTTGAAGTCCACGGTGGGACCAGCCCTAGACCCTTGTCCTTAGAAACAGAACTTACGGACAGGGGAGCCCTCCAGGAGCCGGGGACGGAGGCCGCTCACCCCCTCGACGCAGAGCCTCCAGGTTTCTCAAAGAGATTTCCACTCAGGTCTGTCTCCAGAGGTGGCCCTCAAGCCGAGGTGGAACATTGCAATAGAAATCCAATTGGATACGACGACTTGCACGTATTTTAATAGCGTCATACCTAGAACTGAATTTTGTCTTTATTATTTTTAAAGAAAAGTTTTGTAAATTTCTCTATTGTCTCAGTTTACATTTTGTATATTTGTATTTAAATGAAAGTCAGACTTTGAGGGTGTATATTTTCTGTGCAGCCACTGTTAAGCCATGTGTTTTAAGACATTTTAGAGTGGGGGGGTGGGGGTGGGGATTTACAAAACAAAAAATGTGACTCAAGACTTCCAGAGCCTCAAATGAGAAAATGTTTTTATTAAATGTAGAAAAGGACTCACATTTCACCTTTAAAGGATTGGTTGTATCCATCTCTGTGACCTTTCCCTCACATTGATGTCACCGTGCTTTTGGCTTGTAACGATCCGAATTAAGTGCTCAAGACACAATTGGGACTTCGCCCCCCCCAGTCAGAATGTCCTCTGTGGGGTCTCCGGGGTCACCTGGGGCCGATGTGCACTTTTCCTTTAGAGGCACACGATGCCAGTGTTGCTTCAGCCTTGGCCTTCTCTTCCTTCTGGAACGTGGCCGGTACGCAGAACTGGGTCTCTTTCTTTCTAAGCAGGTTCTGACTGCTGAAACCGGTATGCTTTAAGAGGCTTGCCTTTGGGGACTTTTGTTTTATTCTATTTTTAAGAGAAGCATAGCGGTGATAAGGTGTAGTCATGGAACCCCAACTATCCCAAATCCTCACGGCCCAAGGAAGCATCAGGGAGTGAGGGTCAATGGAATCATCCTGAATGAGTCCCTGGAGGGGGAGGGAGGCTTGCCCAGGGACTCCTGGCGCATTCCTTAAGCGTTTACGGGACCACAGGGTCTGGAGAGCTTCCCAAGGCCCCACAGATTCACCGGCCCAGGCGGCATGGATGGAGTTCGCTCTCTAAGCAAATGGGATGCTCTAGGGGAGGGCCGGGACCCAAAGAGGCTCAAGGCCACTGTCCCTTCCTGGGAGGAGTGGGACAAAGGCAGGATGTAACGGGGCATCTCAAAACTTCAGGCACAAATAGCCCTCAGGAGGACTTGGTGGCTTTGCCAGACCAGGGTCTTCTGAAGGCAGTGTCCAGGCCCTCTGAGCACGGCTGTCCAGCAGCAAGGAGCCACCGGCCCCCTCCTGTTGCCTCCACAAGGTGACAAGAAGCAAATCCACCCTCGCCTCCCCCCCACTCCAGAATAGGGTGAGTGGTTGACAGCCCTGCTCCCCTGCCTGGCTGCGTCCCCGGCGGCTGAGCCAGCCTCCTCCTTCTGACGGCAGCCGCCTGGCAGTCGCCAGGATTTCGCCCAGTGTGGAGCCTGCACTTCTGTCATCGGCATCTCCCGTCAACATGCAGATTCCTGGGCTCCACCCCAAGCCTGTGGGATGGGATGCTTTAGAAGCAGGGCCCCAGAATCTGCATCTAAAGAAGTTCTCCAGAACATTCTGACGCACCCTCAAGGAAGGGCACGTGAGCCTTGGCTGCAGTGGGGCTTTGGATGGGACCCAAAACGATTTCTTTAGGTGACGCGGGCAGTGCGAAGCATGAGCTTTTAGGGAGGAGACAGTGGCGGGGCACGGCAGCCTCATGCCCCACGCCCGTGCTCTTGCCCCCAAACTGGAGCACGCCGCTGGAGAGGGGCTGCCTTCGGGACGGGTCATTTTAGGGCGTGTGACCGATAAGTGGGAGAGAAGCAACCGGTGGGCTTCCCTCGGGTCCTCTAACGCACAGTATTACTTTCTTCAAGACCGGCTCTCGCCTCACGAGGCTGCTTCTGTTACTTTCCTGGGCTGCATACAAGATAAGTACAAACAGCCATACTCCGTTTCTGCCAAGGAAGTGGAAAGCCCCCTGGCCAGTATTTTAAGAGCCTCAAGATCTTGCTGACCCTCCTTTCTTAATGGAAAGGACAGTCATCTTCCTGGGACCATCACCAGCCCGAGCCCCCACTCTCCTTCCTTCCTTGTGCCCCGTTCGCAGCGACTCAGTGCTTCCCGGTGACCCGTGTAGAGAAGCCATCTCTTAATTCCTCAGAGCCCCACACTGGCCACTTGTAGGACCAGAATCGTCAAGAGACAAGAGGGAAAAACATCCATCGCTGTGTGTTTCTGCATCGTGGGAGCTCAGACGATACGCACAGGCCTTTGTGGGACTCTTAAAACGACTGGAGTCTTCCTTCTCGTTCGCTGCCTGTCCCACCCAGTGCCCATAGGACGTGGGGCCAGAGTCACCCGCCTTCCTGATCATCCTGTTCCTACTGCCCATTGTTTCCTATGAGAGAAGGGAAGTCCGTTTCAAACAATGCCTGAAAATCAGCCCTCCTTTCCACCAAGTCCAACAAGTAGGTCCTGCCCCCCACCCTCTCCCTAGCTTCTACTCCGACTTTTCTGTAGCTGCATTTTTAAAAGGCATTTTTAAATTAAGGAGGGGGAACCCACTTTCGCACCCATACACTTATCTGGGATGAGGCGTATTTGGGCAGTGAATGAATTTTTTTTTTTTTTAAACTGCATTTGAGCTCTTCATAGAAGGGCCTCTCTTTCTCCAAGCATGACATTTTTCTCACTGGACGCTCGCCGACCTCGTGCCTTTGAGGTGAGACGCAAGGCCTCGCAGAAGCATCTCTGCTTCTACTTTTCCGGAGACAAGCTGCTGCCCCCAGTGGGATGGGGTGGTCTCCGCCATGAGCACCACCACCGACAAGTGTCTATCGAGCCCCCAGGGGGGCTCCCATAATATCGCCCATAACCACACACACGCCTGACCCCTGCCTTCACAGAGGACGGCACCCTCCCCCGCCCCCCAAATGCACCACTCACTTTCTACTCTTTCTAGGCCGGGAACATCACTTTTTAAGCCATGAGGTCTCGAGGTCACTTGCACCGTTGCTAAGTGTTGCCATGTCTGGAGCAGCCCCAGGCTTATTTCCTGAAATGCACTGTTCTTAGCAGAGACTGGGGCTCCGAGGGGCAGGTAGCAGGGAGGCCGGCTGGGTGGAAGAGAGCAGGGTACCTCGGCTTGATGCACCCTTGACATGCACCACCGCAAAGAATGGTGGTGAGTTCTGGGGACTCGTGCGGACGCCACCTTGGCCTCGAAGGCACAGCAGCATGCGGCCGCTTGCCCTTGAGCCTGGCAAGTCCCGACAATGCTGAGGGCATGCCCTCTGAGAAGCCAGGCTCTCCACGCCTGCTGTCGAAGCTCCTCGTTCTTCCACACCCCTGTCCTTTCCCGAAAGGTTCAGGGCGTCGGTTTCCCACGGACTCGACTGAGCTACTGACCCAGACCTCAATTCGGAGGGAACACGGCCGCCTCCTTGCACCTGGCGTCCAGGCCTTGCCAGAGGAAACAGGAGCCTCGCAGACGAGCAGAAGCCCACCGAGACGAAGTGCCACCCGGGTGACATCAGCTCTCCTCTTGGGCTTCTGTGGACTCCCCCGTCCACGTGAGCACCTGCGTCCTTCCAAGGGCAACCTCGCCCGGTGTCCCCTGGCCTCATAACCCCACCCTCTGACACAGGACCTCCTAAACTTTACAGCCTTTGTTCCGAAGAAGGAGTGTGAAACCTCCGTGCATTTTGAAGGCACAGGGCTGAGACGTGACCAGCAGGGAACTCACTTCTTTCTGTCACAACGGACCAGTGAAGCCTCGTCCCCGAGGCCCCTTCCCCTTCCCCCAGACCCCACCCCACGGGCTTTCACAACCAACCCGTCCAGCTGTCAAAGCCCAGAGGGGGCGGGTCAGAGCCTGCTCGGGTGCAGGGCAGGGTTCTCGGCTGGTCTTATGCTGGGGACGGTGGTTAAAACATTTGGAAACTTAGCTCTCCCCAGGACGGAAAGACGCTTCCTCAAAGAATCTAGATTATCGTTCCCCAGTCCATCAAGACGTCATTTTTGTAATAGATCAAAAGCAAATGTTCTCGATTAGAAGAGCTTAGTGGCTGTTGGTAGCGTTAAAATAAATAATCCTTCTAGTATCCAAAGGTTTCTATTTTTTTTTTTCAGGGAAATTTAAACTTTGATGGTGAATGAAAATAGTTCCCTTTTGGAGGTCATTCCTAAAGATAACGGCTTTTGTTCTGTTCTGAATCTTTGTCCGTTCCGTCTCCTATGTCACTGTGCTGCTGTATCTAGATCGAACCACTGTTGTTTTTTTAAGAGAAATAAATTCCTTAATGAAAAGAGTATTTCTTTCTTTCTGTACACGGCTGTCACCGCTGAGATGCCAGCATCTGCTGCCACCGCGTCTTGATTAACCCTCTCCTTAGGTGGACAGCTCAGGCCCCGCTGAAGCTCTGGCCCACATACACCACCCCCCACCCCCCCACCCCGACCGCGGGAGAGAGT